CCCTCGCCTTTACCCTTTCCTACTACTTCGCCCTCGCCTTTACCCTTTCCTACTACTTCGCCCTCGCCTTAGCTCTCTACTCGACCACGCTCTCGCCCTCGCCTTGGCACCCGCAATGTTCTTCCTCTTCGTTATCGCAATCGCCTAGCCTAATTCTCATTGCCACACACGTACACACCTGGCACGCAGAAGACATGCTTACAAGCCGGTCTGGTTGACTGAACAAGCGCCTACAAAAGCGCCGCCTGTGAGTGTTCAAGCCCTGGCCAGTTGCGCGTGTGTGCGTTTGGAGATAAACTGACGGACGGAAGAGATTCGGTCAGTCCTCGGCCGATTGGCCGCTGTCTTCACGCAACTCAGCACAACTCGCACCTTACCCTCCAACTAATGTCAGGTTGTTCATGTCTGTAATGTGTGTGTGTGTGCTTGTATGTGTGTGCGTGGGTGGGAGTGTGTGTGGGTGCGTGGGTGCGGATCGGGTGAGGCGTGGAATGAAACGGGAAGCGCAAAGCTGAGTGATGCCTTGCTCAAGTCGACCGGCGATGTTACAGTCAGACGTACACAGCCACAGAGACACAGACTGACAGACGTGCTTGCATGTGATTGGCCGGTGTGTTGACCCTGTGGCCGGTCTCACCGCGTTGCCCTCATCGTCGACGCTGACTACGTCGTTCTGTCCGCAGACTGCCTCCACTCGCCCGCATCAATTGACTCTGAGCGCGAAAAGGGCCCCTCCTCACTCGGTGGGGCAGGAGAGGGTGGTGGGGTTGGCTGGGTCCCATCTCGCAGCGACTGGCCATTTTGTTGCCACCGTCTCCGATTCGCCCCATCAGCGACCATTTGTGTGTGTGTGTTCTGTGTGTCGGAGTGAGTCAGTGTGTTTTTGTCGGTTGGTAGCCACCTTGTGCGCCACCTCGTCCGTCAGTCACTTTTCCGAGTGCATGATCTGTTGTAGTTGTGTGTCTTCTCGTCTGATGGGGATCGGGCTTTTCCGGTCGCAAAGGCTGGCTTCGTTTTTGCAATGGCCCATTTTGTGTGTGCTCCATTCTGTGCCCGTCTGTTTGAGAGTCTGTTTGTCTGTCAGTCAATCTACCAGTCCATCTGACTGTGTGTGTGTGTATGTCTGACTGGTTGTCAGTTGACATGCGAAAGAGACTTTGTCTCGTTCGGGCGCGGAAAGGCAAGGGGAGGCGTGCAGGAGAGAGATAGAGAGAGATAGAGAGAGAGAGAGAGCAATGGAGTGACGGATGTTTAATGTCGCCCTGCAGATGCC